CAAATCTCCTCGAATCTCCTCTCCTCAGTCTGGCCATCATCTCTGACGCACACTTGAGTTTTAGAAATGTGAACCTGTAATCCAGGGACCAGTATGGCTCTTAAACTCTTTTCACAGAACTGGCAGCCTTCAAGTTGTTTGCTTTCTTCCTGGGCAATGCTGTAGTGTATGTTGACATGTTTCCTTCCCCAAATGCATCTCAAAGACCTATTTGGCCCTCAGCCCAGACAAGGCTCTCCATGCTACTCTGTGCCTCACTCCAGCCTGTGTCAAGTGACTGTGGAGTGTTATGACAGCATTTCTGAGTAATGGCCTTTCCTATCTTCTAGTTAACTTCGTAGTCCACACCAAATGCTCGTATGATGATACACTGCTTTGCAGCAACATCTAGCACAGGCTACTTGACCAGAGCTTTGCCTATCAGTTTGCTCCTCCCGGCGCTGCACAAGAGCATAGAAACTATGCTCTTGTGAGATGTAGGGGTCAAAACAGCACCAGATCCTGGCTGTGAAGGTGGCCATGGGGATGCTTGGAGCAGATGGAAAAGCCATACAAGCATAAAGCCATGCTTCCTCTGCTACGTGTTCCCAGCAATGCTCAGTTTAATCTTATTCTGACCAAAGTACCCTTCTGTCTAGCAGTTCCTTGCTGGGGTCGCTCTTCCATAAGAGCACCTGATTGCTTTTGATCCATTCTGGATCATTTTGTATCCTAGAAATCCTAATTAATTAATTCCCCAGACCTAGAGAACCACAGAAACACAGAACGGGTAAGGTTGGAAAGAACCACGTCTGGTTCCTGCTCAAGCAGGGTCATCCTAGAGCACCTGGAATGGGATTGCACCCGGGTGGTTCTTGAGTATCTCCAGTGAGTGAGACTACACTAGACATAGTGAAAAAGTACTTAAATTTCCTTGGGTTTTAACCTATGTCATTACTTAATCAATATGCTCATTTATATACTATAAAACATAACAAGTAATCATTTCCAAATTACCTCAGTCACTGCACATGATTTTAGATACATTTTGATTTTCCCTTTCCCTTTTTCTGCTGCTTCTTAATTCCATTATGCCTCCTCTGAGAGGGAAGAGA